TGCAAAGTAGTGCTAGCCCAATAGTTCCTACACAAGAAACAAATAATAAAACGGGAAAATCTTGCTTTTTGAGGGGAGTAAAATGAATGCTCACCATGCTCTATGAGCTGACTTTGCTGGCTTGGAATAGAGATGGATATGATCTTGTGCCCCAGAAGAAATCTCTCCACCTCCTCAAGGAGGGGCTTGAATCCTGCACGAGAAAAAAAGAACTTGTAAGTCCTACATCATAGCAAGTTTTAGAATCTATGCACTCACCTTTGTGGGGGCAGCAGCCAATTGGATGTATGCTCACAAAACTTGAGAGTTCCATTGACAAACTCACTTCACCAGCGCAGCTCTCGATTGCAAAGCAAGCAATCTCGTCGGCTCGAGTTTTCCCCTTATGAGCGGCACTGGCAACAGAGGGAAACGATTCAAACGCAAGTCAAAGAATGTAAAATTAATAGTGAGAACAACATAAAACAAGAGATAACTGTAATAATGACAATTGTAATATTAAAGAACACAAAATGTACTAATTTCCTACCTTCCATGCACTTGGTATAATGCTTTAAAATCTTGATGTAAAACTAACGGTGATAACAACTTAAAATAAAAGATAACTGCATTTTAAATGCATCACTAACAATGTCATCGACTGAGCTTAATTAAGAGATTTTCCAAGTTCAATTGCAATATGCTTGTAGTCCTTTTCCTCTCGTTGAGACTTTAGTGTTGAATGAATATCCTTTAGAAATTGAAAGATGTTCTCGTGCTTCGCTACATAAAAGAATTCATGGGAGGTGCTCCAGCTGAGAAACGCAGCAAGTGACGAGAAGTACTTCATCCAACCAGAAGAACATCTGGGCATTCTAGGTTGTGACGGTGATCCAAGCCCCGATGGCGGCTGGAAAGCCAAGGTGGTGGAGGTTTCCAAGCTCTGCCCTCGGTCTCGAGATCCTTCAAAGTCGAGGTTCTTTGAACATTTATGCATTCGAAATCAGTTATCAGCTTAAGATCAATAAGTTACATACAAGGATCTCGTGTTTGCATCAAACGCATTGCTTTAAAACTTTCGAGAAGCCCTTGGTGCTCGAGGTTCTTCAGTTCGATACGTATACATCTTACATCTGCTTCAGTCAATCCAGATCTGGTGAGACAAAAACCTCAGAACGATATAAAAAAACGTCAGCTTACTTTTTTTCTTGGAGCTTGATGATATATCTGGATACTTATAGATCGATCGATGTTCTTGGAGTTTGATGTTATATGCACGATGAATGATATCTTGATCGATCTTAGATTGGCTACTACCAGTAGTGGCGCTGGCCAGAGACAAGCACTCAGCAGCTGATGGTAATGTTGCAAACAACATGCGCAATGAGACCATCGAGGAATTGGCCCCGGTAAGCGAGCCAGCGAGCAAGCAACTCCGCCATTCCATCCTGTTGTGGACTGCGAAGAATCCATTGCTCACTACACACAGCAGCCAGTTCCAAGTCCTCAGCCCCACCGCCTCAAAGCCCCGCGATCGGTCGTGCGAGAGCTTGGCGAGCATGCATGAATCGGTAGAGCCAAGAGTGATGAAAGAGCTCCTCTTCGATCGGGACCGCGAGGCAACCGCCAGTTACTCGCAGACAATCCCACGCAGCTCCCATTTTCTTGGAGCCAAAATCCAGGGCAGGATTCCAGGCGGTTCTCATCTCCTGTGGTCGATTCTCGTCCAGGTAGATGGTCACGAGCCCCACCAAAAAATCCATCTATCACTGCCATAGAGGGATTGAAATAAAAGATGGAGTCCTCTTTCTTCCTCTACAGGCTGACCTTCCTTGCTATTGCTGCTGCCGAGCTTGGAAGTCTCGGCTTCTTCTTGGCCAACTTCTTTGTGGATGGCTCACGTTCCTGAACTCCATTTGCTTCGTTACATGGATCTCCTTACGTCGTTTTCAAGCTCTCAAATCGCATCAACTGCGTGACATGTATCAGATCATCCCCTACAAACCTTATGGCGAGTAAGGAGGAATACGACATTTGATAAAAGTTCTCTCCACAGCAATTGTATCAACGTTTACGTGGGATTTGGCGTCCACGGTGCATCTCGGCACTCTATAGCACGGGCTTCCCTCAGAGTTTGGTGGTTCCTGCAGAGGGAATGAAATTTTTGCTCTCAGCACTCTCATTTACAAAGGAAGAGATCTCGTCAGAGTGAATCGTCCAAGGACATATTTGATCTGTGTGCTTTGACATCCCCAAGTGCCAAGATATTATCAGAGTGAGAAATTGTTCTTGTCACTGCCTCTCTCTCGGCTTAGACACTTGGAAGAAAACGCGGACGTCAGCAAAGAGGAAGCATCCAAAGAACTTAACACTCACCTGCATGCGAGATTGTCTTTCCAGTTTCAGAGAAAAATAGCGTCAAATTGTTGAGCAATCTCCATAAAGATAGCCAGCGTTTTCCACAGCCTACTCGCATTTCTCCCAGCAAAACCTGTACCAGCACTTGTCCATAGCACCCTGTCACTTTTACACGGCAAGGACATGGAAAGAAGCATGAATGTCGTACCACTAGCTGTTTGTAATGAAGTTGAACCATGTGCAACCACTTGAAAACATTTCCCGACTGTCGAGTGTCTTGTCTCCAAGCCGAAGTTGGACGTTCCTGTACGTAGAACCACTTTTGAGAGACGGCATCAGCTGTAAAGAGCTTGTTACCCCCCACCTTTGATTCACACACACTAAACGAGTAGAAGTCCTGGGATTTGTGATGAATTGCCTGAAGACCTATTTTGATTCCATTGGAGTCAAAAGAAAAAAAAGCTTTCTTTACCTATGCTCTCCATCCGCCCATGTCACCAAGTTGCCGTGCGGTCATGGAACTTGATCGAATGTTAGCTCAAAAGCAATGTACAGGGACACAACCGAGGTGGTGCCACTCATTGCTTTCAAGAGTTCAAGCAGCATCAGAGGTAAGCTTGTTCACTGTAGATTTCAGAACTTCAACATTCTTACAGGAGCATCACCAGCAGCCAAAACATCAACTCACATAAATTGAAAACTACCAAAGCTGTGGATGTGCTAGTAATGGTGTGTTATCCTTTTTCTTTACTTTGTTGTGTGTTCTTCTGCGGGTGTGTGTCCATGGCGTTAGCAAATTGCAGGCATCTTGGCAAGGGTATTCCCGGGTCCTTGAGAATTCCAGAATGAAATGGTGAGTCTTGGGGAGCAAAAGGATTGAAAACCTTTTCTCATTCTTTGACGCTCTAGACCTTTTCCGCAGAAGAATACTTGGTAGCAACATGCTGAGAAAAGACGAGTAAAAAACTAGAGCAGAAAGAGCTAAAGATGAGAGGATTACCTGTTTGTCAAACAATGCAATCTTGATGTTCATCGCGTTTCTTTGCACTCCTTGCTCTTTCAAGTGCCTTCTTGAACTTCATTCCACCAAAGTCGATGTTTCTGCTGCCGTCAATGACGCACAAATCCCCTCCACAGTGCAAGAATCATTCGTGCTTGTCGTGCTCTGCCTGTGTGAATAAGAAAACCAGAAAACGGAAAACAGTTCATCTTTGGAAACGCTCTTACTCCTTCCCTCTGCCGCACTCATAGATCAGCGCCAAATCCACATAAAACTGTGTGCCAGGATGGTGAGAGATGATGAAAGAAAGCTATTATTTAGGAAATTTAACATAATAACATAGAAATGTAGTAGCAGTTTCCATAACATAATAACTACACGATTCTATACCCTTTTGCACTCAGTTCCATAATACGTGCACGCATTGCAGCTTGACTCTCCCTCCATAAGCAAGAATATTTTCTCCAATCATAGTCAGTTGTGAGACTAATTTGGTCTGCTGATTCCAATAGTTTTCCTTCTGGAGATACCTATAAATTTCCGACTTCAAAAAAATAAATAATAAACAGTGAAAACCTACCTTCTGGACCAAATACCTCACACATACATCGCTCACACATACATCCTCCATATCATCTGCGGTGTGGTAACCATAAATATCATCTTCATCTTCTTCTTCATCATCATCCCAAAGAAAGAGAGCCAGAGCCCTCATACCCTTTTCATCGGGAGGGAAGTATTGCCCTCCTTTAACAACAAAGCCCTCAACCTTCTTCGCTTCAATCTTCACAGGGAAGTAATCCCTCTCAGTCACAGGATCGAAGATGGCTGTCTCCTCCACAGAGAAATCCACCAGATAACCAGGGTGATTCAATTTCAACAGCATGCTCCGGATAGCTTCTTCCATCCGGACAAACCCTAAAGCCGACCCTAAAAAAGACTGGAGGTTCGAGTCTTGGATTTCTGGATCTCTTCGAGTCTTGGATTTCTCATTTGAATGAGCTGCAAAGAAAGCCTTTTTTTCTTCGACCGATGCACTCACAGTGGATTTTCAGGGAATTCATCACAAATCCTTCGGTGACAAGAACGCAGTCACGGAATGCTACTCACATAAAGTATAATCGGTTAAAGGCCGGGGTGAAGGACTTACACTCGTTTTGTCTGCGTAAAGATATGGCCGGGGGTGTAACAAGCTCTCCAAGCTCTCCGTCTCCCAAGAGTGGTTTTACGTCAGAACAGGAACGTACAAACTGTATATCCGGCGGCTCGGAGACAACGAGACACTCGGCAAAATGCCAGCCGGAGGACGGGAATTCTTTTCGAAGCTTCAAAGAAGAAGGGACTCCATTGTTTCTTTAAAGAGAATTTAGGGCTTTTGGCGTTGGGAGCTCGCTCGGCCAAGGGAAGCAATAGTTCTTTACTGGGTCGATCGGTTGCGCTTTCGATCACCTACATTGAGGTATGGATCCTTACCGGTAGATCACAAGCTGCGAGTAAACATTCCCCGGAATTCGTTTGTGCCGAGTGAGATCTTCGGTTCTTATTTTTCCATGACATAGCCACGTGGACCGTGACTATGCCACGTGGAATTCACACGTGGCAGCGTTTAAATATTTTTGGCGGGATGGTGCAAGACGGCTGGGCGCTTGCTTTCTTCTGTGATGCGCCTGATGTTCCTATCGTGCTCGAGGTAATATTTTCAATGCTAGCGAATGAAATCCCCTAACAGCAGATCTCTGGTGCTTTTTCATGCAGGGGCAGAGCCTGCCTTTCATGGACTATCTCAGTAATTCTCTCGTCAAGCCAAGGGAAGGAAACCCCGTTCAGTTCCAGGCGTTGCTGCTCCCCAGCTTGAAATCGCAATTGCAGGTTTGCTCTCCAAGGTTTTAAGCCTTTGTAATTGTTTGTTTCAGGGATTATACGACATCAGTGCCTGTAAGCTCGGAGATAACGTTTCCTTGGATGGAGCTCCGTTCCAGGCATTGCTGCTCCAGGTTTGTTGCTTTCCATGAACTTAGTGTCATCACAGGACGAGGTTCTAAGTCTTTTGAATTCTTTTGTTCCAGGGATTATACAACATCAGTGCTTGTAACATTCCCTTGGATGGAGCTCAGTTCCAGGCCTTGCTGCTCCCCAGCTCGAAATTGCAAATGCAGGTTTGTTAGCTTCATCACAGGACGAGGTTCTAATTTTCTTTAATTCTTTGTTCCAGGAATTATACAACATCAGTGCTCGTATGCTCGGAGATAAAGCTTACTTGGATGGAACTCGAGCTGCTGCAAGCATGGTTCAAGAGTCAGATGCGTTTCTCGTCATTGGCTCGACTGTAATGGTTTTACGTCTTGTGAGGTAAGTAGTAGCGTGACTTTTCTGTGACTTTGTGTGTGAATTGTTTCCCTCTGTCGCCAGTGCCGCTCATAAGGGGAAAACTCGAGCCGACAATATTGCTTGCTTCGAGATGGAGTGCGCTGGTGAAGTGAGTTTGTCAATGCAACTCTCAAGTCTCTTCCAAGTCGTCAGCATACATCCAATTGGCTGCTGCCCGCACAAAGGCGAGTCACTAGATTCTGTGAAACTATACAATGTAGGACTTATAGATTTTCTTGTGCAGGATTTAAGCCCCTGGTAGAGAGATATCTTCTGGGGCACAAGATGGTCAGCTTCTCTATTCCAAGCCAGCACAGGCAGCGCAGCCAGCACGGTGAGCATTCGTTTTATTTCCCTCATGCTTTTCTTATATCTTTTATGTGTAGGAACTATTGGTCTTGCAGTTTTTTGCAAGCAAGGATTTATAGTCTTGTTCGATTCACTCACAACTGTTACTGGAGACGACGGAGGTGTAGTTGAGAAGCGGGGGAACTTTAAGAAGATTGTGGAGGTGAGGAGTGAGCCAAGACTTCGAGTTGGCTTTGCTGGCAACGTGGCTGCGTCTTTACAAGTTATTAAACTCTTGCAAGTCAAGCTAAGTAGGAAAGAGTTAACTCTTCATGAAGCAGCCGAGTTTTTGACGAAGAAGGCAGGCCTTTATGCAACCACAGATCCAGACTTCGTTGCATCGTTCTTTGTCTACAACGAGAGCATGTTGGTGATGGTCAAGAATGACGGCAATGGGTACAAGACAACGGAAGTTACAAATGAGCATTCCGTAATGGCCATTGGTTCCGGAGCACAACAAGCACAGGTGATTCTGGGACAACCAGTCCGAGGACAGAACCATGGAAAGGAGGCGAGTGTTGGAGAAGCTCTTTCGCTGGGTCTCGACGCTTTTGCTCAAGCTTGCATCGAGAATCCCGAATGTGGAGGAGATTTGTGCGTCATCGATGGCAGCGAGAACGTCAAGTTATGTGGAGGGAAGTTCAAGAAAGTGCTTGCTCGAGCAGTGTCAGATAATTTTTCCTTCCAGTATAAGAAGCGAGCAATGCAACGGAATGCTCTGAACATCAGAACTATATTGTTCGAAAAGGTAAACCTCTCGTCTTGTTTGAACTTTAGTAACTCATCTTTTCTCAGGAGGAGGAAGCTTTAACTTCTACTGCTTCGGCCAAGGATTCTCCCGTTGAGAAGGTTGAGAACATCACAGAAGTGGATGGAGTTGTAATGGTCTGTATTTGTGTGGTCTTTTTGCTTGCTTTGCTTCAGCTCACGATCAAAGTGCAGGTGAAAAAACGAGGTGGCTATATGCTTGCCACAGTAATGGTTTGTGGTGTCTTTTTTTTTTAGTTTGCTTTGCTTTACTTTGGCAATTTACAGGTACAAAACCAAGGTGCTTTTACGTTTGCCGCTCTTAGCTTCAATTACAAAACAAGGGTAAGGAATTTATATCACATTTATTCTTTAAGGAATTTATTCTTACAGGTTGTGAAAGAAGCGTTCATTGTCCTGCATGATTGTCTGGTTCTAGCAATGGCAAGTCATGTTTAACTCCAGCAGCTACACTAACATACTTTGTCATGCTGCAAGCAGTAAAAGAACCTGTATCGCAGATAGAAGAGGAGGCAGTTGCTTCTTTGTTTGTTTGTCTTTTTTGCGTTTGCTCTTGTTCTTGCTGCAGGCCTCTGGAGGAGGGCACGACGTCGTCGTGAACGTCGGGCAACGCCTTTATTCCAAATAGCGCGCCTTGCTCTTTGTCGGGACTACAAAGAAATAAAGCGTATTATTTTAAGGGAATTTTTTCTGACCAGCAGCTTCTATCCGCGCTCCGGGAGCTTGGTAAATGCCTCAGTGGCGATTCCAGCGTGGTGTCGGAGCCAGATAACTCTTTGATCACTGGAAACTTAAAAACTGTATCCCAAAACAAACAAACAAAATAGAATGCATGTACCAACTGTGATTCCAATGTCAAAACTAGAGCAGATCTGATGGGATCTCTCACTCACATCTAATGAAAAATCATAAAAGAATTAGAGGAAAAGGATCTCTTCAAACTCCTATGTGTGACCCTCACATCTAATCAAAAGAAAAGAGGAAAAGGAACTCTTCCTCCTAGATGTGAGAGAAAGGATCTCTCTCACACATCTAATGACGGTTATATATATTGATTAGTAAGTTTCTTTGTAGTTTTAGTTAATAGTATCTTTGATTTCATTTTCAAATATAACTTTAGCAAAGAAAGTGGAATCTGAATGGGTCTTTTAGGCTTTTTTTTTTTCAAGAGAAATAATTTAGATAGCTAAAAACAAATTCAAAATATATTGTCATCACTGAATAATTACATTAAGAGTTTGATATGTAAAATAAAAACTCTATTATATTTCTTGCTCACACACTTCTGTAAAATCACAATATAATAGGATATAGCAATAAAAAATATTTATTTTTAATATAAAATATTATTATAGCTAAATTTTATAATGAGGGTGAATATTTCCAACCAATTTAATATGATATTGATTACTCTATGATATGGATATTATTAATTTCTTTACTTTTTTATTTATAATTGTTATGATAAATTATATTTATTTATATATTTAATGAAAATAATATCAAAAGTTTTAATAAATATTTTAGAATTAGTGCTACAATGCAATACACAGTAACTTATATTTAATATACCAAGGACATAATAGAATTTTTCATTTCTAAAACCTAATAGAAAAAGATAGAAGGGATCATTTTGTTTACCAAAGAGAATATTGTAATATAAACTAATTTCAACTGCCATTAGTAGTTGAAAAGGCCAAGAAAGAAAACTAAAGTCCTTAATTTTCTCTTTACACAATTGTAGTTATCCTTAGATCAGGAACTTATAGCTAAAAAATAAAGTTATCCTCAATAGCACATTTGTTAACGCTTTTAAGTATCATTTTAGGATGGTGAAAGAGCAATAATTTATGTATGACCATATGGATATATAGCCTTGTGGATCCAATAGATTTCATTAAAAATACCAAAAACAAAATCAATTTCATCTCATAATTTTCATGCCTATAGATCAAGATTACTTGGTGTTTAAGAAATTTTATGTATTTTTATAATTTATAAACACAATATTAAACTAATTTTACATTAAATAAAAATAAGATTAATCTAAATGAAGAATATTTAAGCATCTTTTAGGTATATCCACTACATGAAATTATATAGAAACAAATGTATAATTAGAATCCAAGTATATCATAGGATATACCTCAATCTAATGGCTGTGATTTAATGCTCTTAAACTTTATATAATTCGTTGGTATAAAACTGTGGATCCGAACATTATATAAACTAGCTATTTGAGCAAATTTCAAGAAACCCTAACAAGTAACATAAACATCCTTTTTTCAAAGCAAAATACTTTTCTAAGCTTTCAAGACTTTTTCTTCCAGAACTGGTTGTACAATCTATAAAGTATAAAATAAAGACAATTGCTCCTCGGGGATGCATTGACTTACAGTTTCTTTGTGTAACTCCAGAAATGCTTAATTTCCTCTATAGACAGAACAAATTATTGCAAAAAGACAAAGACCAGCTGGGAGGGTAGAGATGAACAGGGCAGCAGTGGAGAGAAAGCCTGTGTTTTGGCCTTTCATATGGATAGCTGTCAATTTCATGTAAGGAACATACCTAGAACATTCAAGTATATCCTTTAATTCCTCAATCTAGTGCCCATGATCGAACCTAGGTCTTGTTATGATTTCAAATTCATTTGTATAATAGTATTGACATTTCTTATTTATCACTAATACAAAATTTATTTAAATTTCCAGAGCAAGTCAAAGAGTGCCAAAGAAGTCCAGAAAAAGGTAATCAGGCTCAATACTAGCTCATTGACTTCAATTTTGTTTTTCAAAGAATGCTAGCTATAGTCAATTTGGTAGTCAATTTTACTTATCCTAGTTAATTAAAAATCTCTCTATTTGTTACAAGCAACCAAACCATCCTAATGTGGCAATGCCAATGAAGTGGCAATCATCCTCTTGGAGATTACAAAACATCACACACCCACTCGTTCAGATCATGGCTCCAATGCAGTTAGATAAGTAATTTAAGTATCGGAGCCCATTCTTCCTACTGACCACACAACCAGATAATTTGAGTTACAAAGATATTAATAGCCACTTTGTATCTAGTTTCACATGCTTCTGAGCCTCATTCTAAAATTCTTTTCTTCTTATAAACACTCATTGGTTTAGGGTTTAGGGTTAAACCTATTATAAAGGCTAACTAGAAGAGGTTTGTGAACAATGTGGTTTATTCATGTTGGTAAACTTCTTGGAGTTTAGTCATGGATATTATGCATTTGAGCCATGCATATATGATAAGAAAAAAGATATTTTTTTATTATAAGTTATTTGCACCATTATCAAAAGAAACTACATTATTTATCTTATATTGCAAATAATTCCAATGCTTAATATTGTATGCAAATTATTAAACATTAGCCATGGGACCTCTAAACCTATAAACTTAACTTTTTGCAAATTGCATCAGTTTAGCTTCCAACTCTGGCTTATTTGCCCCAACAATCCTGTGTACCTCCTTTCCCGCAAGCATGAAAACAAATGTTGGCATCCCCTCTATCCTCCATTCCGCAGCAACATCCTAGATAGAATCATCTACCAGTAGCTAAGAAAAAAGAAGGAAAGAAAAAAAACACAAAAAACTTGCCTGCAATTGATCAACATCCACCTTGAGGAACACCACCGAGTCGTATGTCTTGGACAAGTCATTGAAGAAAGGTGCAATCATCTTGCAGGGGGGGCACCAAGCCGCAGTAAAATCAACCACTGCCTGAAAACAAATAAAGTGAAGCCTCAATAGCATGAAAATCACGAATCACATAAATGGAAAGAGGAAACACTGACCAGCTTCTTGGGATTGGAGGTGAGCTCCGAGAATTTGTTGCGCCAGGCCTCTGAGGAGGGCACGACGTGAACGTTGCCCGTGTCTCCAGCGGCAACAGCGATGGGCGCCTCCATTCCAAACAGCGCGCCTCGTCTGATCGCTGCTAGCTGGGAGGAAGACTTACACGCAGTGGCCTTCTTCCACAAGCATCGCCCAACGTTCATCCTGCCCTAATCATTGTGTGAATAAAGGAAAAAGAGATTTATATTTCATTTAACAGGTCTAGGTTTAACGTTAAGCCTTGGATAATTAATTTTCTTTCATCTTTATGAAGTTGTAGAGTTTTTCAAATTAATTCCGATCAAGAGAGTGAGCTCAGAAACTTTAGACGCGTGAATCTATATCTCTTTAGCTGCCTGGAATGTTTTGATCGATGATCTTGGTCTCCCTCTGTCCGAACCAAGAAAAAAGAAAAAAAAATTTGCTTCCCTCAAAATCTGTAGCTTCCCAGAGTGCTCTCTACTTGAGCCGACGCTTAGATTCGCTGTACAGGATCACTCCAAACACTGTGAGTGTGTAGCCCGCCATGCCAACCACAGACACGGGGTTCCGGAACAAAAGTATGGACACCACAACGGCCACTGCTCCCTTGGCATTTCCCAGCACCTGTCAAGAACAAAACCATTAAAAGAGCGAGAGATTGAATTCCACTCAAGATAGGATAGAGAAGGGATAGCGAAACAGAGAAAGAGAAAAGTGATCGATCCTTAGAGCTGTGATTGTTTCGTACCTGGAGAGTCAAAGCACTCGTGTGCTTGGTGACGAGGAAGTTAGTGAGGTTAACGAAGTAAGCGGTGGCCGAGTTAACCAGGAGCAAGCCGATGATGGAAAAGTTTGTCCTGGCGAGCGCGATTGTGATGCCCACCACGTTGGGTTCCATGATCAGCGTCGCCGGCAGCAGCAGCACCACGGCGATCGGTGCCATGTAGAGCAGCAAGTTCATAGAGTTGAGCTTCTCCCTGGAAGTAAAGCAGGACAAAAACCGCATCAGGGAATACATTCGAAGGATGCAAACAAGAATTACATAAAGACGAAGAACAGTCGAAGCAAGCAAACGAGAACAGGAAAAAAAATGACGCACAGCAAACAGGAAGAAATTCAGCTGCTAGGAAAGAAGATCGAAGAGCTTCTTACCCCTCGGAGGACAAGAGAATTCCCTGCAATACCGACTTGAGCGCTCTGGCAGCAGTGGCACTCACGCACATAATGAAACCATAGAGATGAAAGCTTGGCTCGCCCTGGAAACAAAGATTCCAACAAAAAAACACAAAAACAATGAGTGTGAGATGGATCCAATAAAATACGAGAAACAATGGTGGAAAGATCACTCACCCCACTAGCGATGATCACCCCCGTGACAACCGGGACGAGCGTAAGATACGTGACCCAGGCCTCCCTCTTGAGCGTCATGAGATACGCAAACACGGCCGTGAAGAAGGGGGTGGTAGCTCCCACCGCCTGATTGAACGAGACCGGGAGGTAGCGCAGCGAGATGTTCCCACTCACCACCGACGCGCAAAAGATGATGCTCAGCGCCGAGATCTTGACGAACTGCGTCCTGGATCTGATAGCCTGCATGGGCACAAGCTTGAGCCACGCGATCCCAATGTAGCTGAAGAGTGCGCACGCCGTCATGTGGCACATCGTGAGGAAGATAGGGTACTTGAAGCCATAGTTGCTGAGGAGATACTTGTTGAGGAGAAGAACACCGATGTTGGACGAGTACCAGGCGCCAATCAACCCTACTGTGAAGACGCTGCCCGGCGCCATGGCCTGCGACGCCAGGGAGCCCGATCTTAGCAGCTTCTCCTTCTCCATGGCCGAGAATCCCCGAGAATGCGAGGCGCCGAGCAAACCTGGGGCGGATTCTCAGCCGATCCGGCCAAATCGACGCCCGATTCCTGCGAAGAAGACGCCGATCCGGCGAGGAATCCCGCCGCCGCCGCACGATTCTTGGCTCCCGCCCGCCGATCTGGGCCTCATCGCGGCGCCATGGACTCCTCCTCTCGCCACAGCAGGTTAAAAACCAAAAGCTCTAAATTCAACTAAAACAAAACCAAAATGGTAGAGTATAAACGGCATGACACGTCACGCCCACGGACCCCGCCACGTTGGCATTTACATTGGCGCCAACACCTACGTGGTGATCCGACCGACGTGGCGAGCTCTCGGCCGTCAATGCAGCCCCAAGCGACCGAATATCCGCACCCGCGTTGTTCGAATCTTCTAGCCCCTCTCCCTCCAGAAAGCGCCAGAGTCGTGGACGGCATTCTAAATTCCTCCGTGTAATTTGACATTGTCTCGTCACGAAGAGAGAAAAAATCGACGAAACAACACGATGATTCCTGGGATCTCTCTGCGTGATCCACGATCATAGAACAAAATACATCCAATCTTTCGCAATAAACAAACAAAAACTTAGACATATTTAGTGTCTCGTGTACTTCTTCTCTACAAAGATGCCAGGGATTGCATCACGTCGGCGTATATGTCCTCGTAGTCTTCGATGCCGCAGCTAAATCTCACCAAGTTATCTTTGATTCCCATCTTGGCTCTTTCGGCAGGACTCTGATCCCTGGAAGATTAAAAAAGAGAATCCAAAAGTTGAGTTGATGACGGCTGTAAAGTAGAAACTTTTTTACTGGTTTACTTACCAGTATGAGATGATCGTCGGCTGTTCTACGAGGCTTTCGCAGCCTCCCAGAGACGGAGCGATGTATGGTATACGAAGCCCGTCTATGAACTTTGAGGTGAGAGCCAAGTCTCCATCGATCTAGAAATGTGACAAACCGGGTCATAGTCGTAACAAGAAAAAGAGAAGGAATGGAAAGAAGGAAGCTTACTTCAAAGCTCACCACGCCACCGAAACCACGCATCTGCTTGCTTGCAATGTGGAATTCCGGATGGCTTTCCAGACCAGGATAGTGAACACGAGCAATCTATGAAACCAAGCTTGTTAATATTTCCTCGAAGAGAAAAATATACATTACATTACCTTGGGATGGGATTCAAGAGCTCGTGCCAGTCGCAACGCATTCGAATTCTGCTGCCTCACGCGCAGATCCAACGTTTTGAGACCCCTTCCAATGAGATACGCAGCATGCTACAAACAGGAAAGAAGATCGATCAACAGGAAGCAAGCGTCAGAAAATAATGAGGAAACAAACACAAGTATGCAATATCATCTTACCGCATCCACGACGCCTCCTAAAACATTGTGCAGCTTTCGCACAGTGTCAACGAGTGGCTTGGAGCCGCTGATACTGCCTGCCAGGACCTGAAATAAAGGACAGTTTCTATCAGCTTTCAATGCTCGAAAACAAAAAATAAAACAATCGTACGTCATTGTGGCCGGCAATGTATTTAGTCGCCGAGTTGAGAACCAGGTCCGCCCCCAGAGCTAAAGCCTTCTGATTCACAGGTGTTGCGAAGGTTCCATCGATGCAAACAATGGCCCCCTTCCGGCGACAAAGTGTTGAAACGAGTTCGATGTCTATACAGCGGAGATACGGGTTTGTAGGTGACTCCGAAAAAAATAATGATACCTGGATGGGCCAGCGACACAATAAGAGAGCCAAAGTCAGCAAGTGGAGATAGCGATATGTGATATTATAGCTTACAGGGTTGTCGTCTAACGCTCGCTTGAGCGAAGCCATATCTGCCGGATCGATGACGGTAGTCTGAAAGATAACAAGTATGAATCGATACCGAGAGAAGGAAAACTTGCGAACGGGAGAAATCAGCATACCGTTATCCCCATTTTGGGGAGCACAGTCTGGACGAACTGCCTTGTTCTACGGTAGCAATCAGTCGTGGTTACAATGTGTCCACCAGCCGGAACCAAAGCCAAGAGCATTGTAGTTGCAGCACACATACCGGAAGCCGAGACTAAAGTCTCTTCAGCACCCTCTAGAGCACTGTAGAAAAGATGAGATGAAAAGTATGAGATGGATTTCTATCTTTCAATCGCAAACCTGATCTTTCTTTCAGTAGCTTGGGTCGTGGGATTTCCATAGCGACCATACTCGAAGCTTTTGTATGTTCCATCCTACATTCATAGCAGCAGCGTGAGAAAATTGGTCAAGTAGAGACTTGTTCTCCCTTGCCTGAAATGCTATCAGATCGGCCGTGTTCCGGAAAGTATACGTAGCAGTCTGGACAATTGGAGTCGTGAGTGAATCGGCAACCTTGGTCCCATTCTCTCGCTCACCTATAGAAAACAAACGAAATTTTAGAGAAAGATCTAGTCACTAGAACAAAGGAAAAGAGGAAATCACGCATGCTTTACCTCCATGCACAGCCAGAGTGCTTGTAGACTTGGGCTTTGGCTTCTCGGCCGCCTTATCGATCTTCACAGCCGTGCCATTCACAGAGATTCCCACCGACAGAGCCGCCGCGACGCCGTCGACGATCGAGCTACTGCCACCGCTGCTTTGGCCGCTCATGGCAGAAGCCGCTACCACTTGCGCAACCCCAATATTGCTGCAGTTCCTCCGCGATTTGACGCTGAGCTGCCGCGCGAAGTTTGGAGGAAACCTGAGAATCATCGCTGCCGACGCAATGCTGCTCAACCTGTCGGTCCCGGATCGGGGCGGAGAAATCGGCGCTGGCGCTGGCGATGGCGATGCCGCGCCGGATGAATCCGCGCGGTAATCGCAGCCGCAATAGAAAGGGAACGAAGCCGCGGCCGCCATCGCTCCTCCCACTTCCCTGATTCTCACGCCCGAGATTTTACCTTATAATGCAGACCTAGTTACCGCGAAAACGTGACCGCGCGGTGAGAAAATTTCACCACGACGCGGCGGTATGTCGAGTCCGTGCGGGACCCGCGCGGGAGATATTCCAAGATATTGGTGGGAATCAAACGCTACACAACATATTAGCTACTATCATCTTCTCATTATCTCGTAGTGTGTTCTTTCTTCGTCTTGATTCAGTGTATATGAAATGTAGAGTAAAAAAATCCTTCGTTGGATGGATCGCTTATCTCCTTTTCTAGGAATTCCCAAAATCCTGTGCCAAAAAATCCTTTTGCTTTCCCTCTTTCGTCCTTCTCAAGCACTGTTCTCGTCCACAGGAGTTTCATCCGATGGCGTTGTCTCTTCGGAGTCTTGAGGAGCTGCTGCTGGACTGTTACTCGGCTTTCCGGAAGAAACTTTCACCATGGCGGCCCTCAAAAGCTTCTCTCCTAGCAAAAATCCTCGTCTAAATTCCTGCGTTACAATACCTTCGTCATACTCGCTAGATTCCTCGCGCATTATCGCCTCGTGAAGCTGTACCAAGATAATGCTCCACTCATTAGCACGAGAAGCAAAAGCGATCTTTGAGTGAGACTAAACTTACCTCGGGATTGAATTCCTTTCCGACTGTGTCGATGACTTTGACGCCCAAGCTCTTCATGATATCCACAAACTGTTTGTAGATCCCCTGATAGCTACTGTCAATCTTCCTCTCGCCATCAGTCTCGGCCTTGATCGCTCCCTTGGCCCTCTCGAAGTTGTCGATCATTGGCAACAAGCTTTCCACCACGTCGCCTTTGACGGTCTCTCGCAGCGAATCCTTCTCGCGTCCCGATCGCTTCCTGAAGTTGTCAAAGTCTGCGTTGAGTCGCAAGAGCCGCTCCTTGGCCAGGGCCGATTCCTCCGTGAGATTTGCAACGAGCTGACTGAGAGAGTCCCTCTCCTTTTGGATCACTTCCAGCTCCGCCTGTATGGTGCTCATTGCTGCTTGATCGTTGCCTAGAACAGCTTCAGAGTAGTTCCGGAGGAGAACTTCGATGACCGAAGCCGAGACCTCGGTCGGCTCACTCCCGTTAACTTGAGAAGTTGTGTCTTCCAGGCCGTCATCATCAGCCTTCTCCTTTTCGTCCTCCACTTGCTGCAAAGATCAAAATCAATTCTTGTCAAACGTGAAAGTGAAGAAAAGCATCCTAAGGAGCTGAGATGAAACAAAGCTCTCATCCATAGCAAGTCTAGCAGCGCAAGAAAAAGCTGAAAAAAAGGAACTTAAAGCCAAGCAAAAAACAAAACTAATCACGAAGACATAAAAATCTATATACGCGGCATGCTGAAAAACCACCGACGGATCAATCCAAGCAGAGAAAGAAACCAACTCTATAGATGGAGAGACACACAATGCAGGAGTTTCACGCTGAACTGTATGAAGAAAATGGAACCGAGAAATGCCAGGCAAAAATCGAAACCAATCACTACTAAGACAGAAAAATCTATTCACAAGAACAAGTAGAAAAACCACTGACGTTCAATCCAAGCAGAGAAAATGGAACAGAGAAATGCCAAGAAAAAATCAAAACTAGCTCATCCACACAAAAACACGCTGAAAAAATACTGACGGATCAATCCAGCTCTATGGATTGAGAGACACACAATGCAAGAGTTTCACGTCGCATGGACTGTATGAAGTCATCCTACTAAAACGGACCAAGCAAAAATCAAAACTAATCAGACAGAAAAATCTATCCACACAAGTTCGAACACGCTGAAAAGGATCAATCCAAGCAGAGAAAAAAAAACCAGCTCTATAGAATGAGAGACACGAGTTCCACGTAGCATGAATGGAAAAGAGAGGGAGGAATGCTCGCTCGCTATGGGAACCCTAGGGTTTTTGTAGAGCGAAGGCTCATACCTCAGCTTGGCTGGCCTGCTGCTCGGCGAGCGCAAACGTCCGGTAGCGCAATCTCCTGGATCCACAGACTGCGGCATTGCGCGTCCCGGGCCTGGAAACTAGGGAATTGAAGCACAGCCCTCGCCCGCGATGCTGCGTCCCGATCGAAATCGACGAAGAGCACAGGCTCCTCCGCAATGGCAATGGATTCACCAGTGTCGCCGACGCCGCCGACGCCGATGCCGCAGCCATAGCCGCCGCCATGCACCGAAATCTTCCCCTCTCGTTCCCCTCCTCGGGCTTGGAATTTCCCTACTACGCAGGAGAATTTTGACGGTCGCGATTGCTTATCCCGTGACGATTCTGGCGAGCATTCAATCCTGGCCGCTTGTTGCGGAATGTAATCCTTGATGCCTTTACGGGCGGAAGAGTCTAGACGTTGCAGGCATAGAAGAGGTCGGCGGTTCGAAGCCGGGTAATATACCGGAAAAAGATGCCACGCGCATCTTGACCGTTGATTTTTTCGGGGTCAGATACGTGGACACGTGACGCTTTGCGACAGACTTCTCGGGTCCGATCACTCGCAAATGTGCCCGCGCCAGCGACACTAGCGACTATTATTTTTACTCTTCCTCACACAATTTAGGGTTTTTAATTTCACTCCATCGCTGGAGCTGGGATTCGCGACGCACGCGCCGATCTTCGGGTAAATCTCTAGATCTAGGGCCGGATCTCAAGCTGGAGGGAGCTAGCTATGGTAATATGGAGCAACAGAGAATGGAGGAGGCCGCCGCGACGATTGTGGCCCAGGATGGATCAGAGATTATCGACAGCGGTGACAGCAGCGACGAGGAAAGGCTTATAGAAATGGAAGCGCTCAAGAGCGACGCAGAAATCCCGAAATCCAGTCTTTGGAGCTTGGGGGATAGCTCTCTCGTAAGCCTCGCCTTGTGGTCGATGGTAGCTGGAGGGATCCAGTTTGGATGGGCTCTCCAATTATCTCTCCTCACGCCTTACGTTCAGGTAGATTTTTTTTTTCTTCTTTTGGTGTTCTTCTTCTTTCCTTTTCGTGTGTTCTAAGAAACGTTGTTTCTGGTCCTAGACACTGGGAATTGGACACTCCTCTTCATCCTTCATATGGCTGTGTGGCCCTGTCACCGGGTTGATCGTAAGTCAATTACATACGTTTTCTTACGTACGTTTTCCACGTTTTTTTTCTTTATTTTTCTCTCAGGTCCAGCCATGCGTTGGTATCTGGAGCGATAGGTGTAGATCGAAATGGGGACGCAGAAGGCCTTTCATTTTTGTGGGAGCCCTGCTGGTTTGCGTTGCCGTAAGTTTTAGTTGTTTCTTTTTTCTTTCTGGTGACGACATCTGATAAGTTGCTCCATTTCAGGTAGTTTTTATAGGATTTGCGGCGGACTTTGGTTATTTGTTGGGGGATCCGCATGTTGATTGTAAGTAAGTATGCCACGTAAAACGAGTACACTATCATCGTTACACAGAAAATTTCAGGTCACCGAAGATAGTAACGCGGCCATGGGCCGTGGGAATTTTTGTACTCGGATTTTGGATGCTGGATGTAGCTAATAACACTGTACAGGTAAAAGTTTTTAGAGTTCATCTTGGCATTGACACAGTCTAAATTCCAGGCGCCTGCTCGAGCTCTATTAGCGGACTTAGCAGGTACTAGAAACATATAATGAAAGCTTTGTGCATTGTTTAACTTTCTCTTCTGGTTGTTCAGGTCCGACTCAGAGGAATTCTGCTAATGCCACCTTCTGCTCATGGATTGCTTTGGGTAACATTTTGGGCTTTGCTACTGGAGCGGGTGGACACTGGCATAGGTACATTGTTACAGGCTTTCGATCTGTTCAAACTGCTAAATGAAATATCTGTTCAGGTGGTTTCCCTTCTTGAAGAGTAAGGCATGCTGTGAAGCGTGCGGAAATCTCAAGGCTGCTTATCTTTTAGCTGTGGTAAGTGATTTGAATTCCCGCATCTGCTAGATTTCTGGTGCAAAATTTTGTCGCAGATATTCTTGGCGTTTTGTACAGCAATGACATTGTGGTTCTCACATGAAATTCCGCTTTTGCCGAAAGAGGAAAGGAAAGAAGACTATGCACCTATATCTCGTGAAGATCGTAGCGGGAAAGAGCTTGAACTGACCGTTATTAATGGTTCTCGAGCTGATGACGGATTATCGAATGGCCATCACAACATAAATGGCAATCACGATAAAAATGCTGCGAAGGAAGAAAAAGTCGACGTAGTTGCGGGACCTGGAGCGGTTCTGGTGAATCTCTTGGTGGGCATGAGACAACTTCCAGAGGCAATGAAGAGCGTTTTGCTCGTCATGACGTTATCTTGGGTAAGAATCTCTTTTCTTCTAGTTGATTTCTAACTTTGTGGTTTCTCAGCTATCCTGGTTTCCTTTCTTCCTCTTTGATACGGATTGGATGGGCCGAGAAGTTTACAACGGTGATCCTTCTGGTGGTATTGACAAGGCGAAGAGCTATCAGAAAGGAGTTCAAGCCGGTGCCTTTGGATTGTTATTAAATTCGGTACGTATTTCTTTTCGTTTGTTTGTTGATAGTTCAACCGTGCGCGCAGGTTGTGTTGGGTGTCTCTTCGTTTCTCATTGATCCTTTGTGTCGCTGGGTCGGGTCGAAAACGCTATGGGCTACAAGCAACTTCATCGTTTTCATCTGTATGGCCTCTACAGCAATTATCAGCGCGTCGGCATACCACCATTTCCAAGACTTCCATTCGATAAAGAATGGAGCTCTTGTGCTTTTTGCGGTTCTGGGATTTCCTCTTGCGGTGAGCTAGCTTTGCTCTCTAAAATACTCGACTCAGATTTTGTTCGCAGGTAACTTACAGCGTACCATTTTCCATCACTGCTGAGTTGACGGCCGATACAGGGGGTGGTCAAGGTTGGTGTCTTGATCCTTTTTTTTCTCGATGGATAGTAAGCGTTTTTTCTTCGTTGCAGGCCTGGCGATGGGAATTTTGAATCTCTCCGTTGTTATCCCGCAGGTCGGCGTTTCATTTCTTCTGCGTTGATTCACATTGTCTTCTCAACTTTCCTTTTCTTTTTCCAGCTGGTAGTTGCCTTGGGAGCCGGGCCCTGGGACGCGGTTTTTGGAGGTGGCAACGAGCCAGCGTTCGTTCTGGCAGCCTTGTTCGCGCTGGTCGCTGGGATAATCGCCATAGCCTGGCTGCCCCAGCTCTCCAGAGAAGGCTACCATCGCACAGAGCTACACGGCCTTGGATAAGCATTTGACTTTTCTTTTTCTTTCTTCGTTTTGACTTCCATTCGCTTGGGAAGCTCACCAAAGCTTGCTTCTGTGTCTGTGTTTATCGCAGCAGGAGCAAAGTGTACATAGCAGAAGAGAATAAAATCAAAAGCCAAGGCGATATAGGGTTCTCTCTGGCCTCGTCTTACCAATAGTAGGGAAAGAAGAAGGTATGCCCGTGCTAACAATCCATACCAATGTGGTGCTCTTGGATGGAAGTTTGATGTCCTCGGTTGTGAGCAAGCTTAGTCACGAAGTCGCTAAAACTACAGGCAAGCCCGAGTCTGTAAGTGGAGCTAGCTCTTTGGATTTTTCTCTCGGAGTTTTTTTGACGTCTTGTTCTACAGTACGTGATGGTGCTTCTTCATGGTGGTGTCACTCTAGCGTTTCAAGGGTGCCACGAGAGCGCTGCTGCGTATGGAGAATTGGTCTCGATTGGTGGGCTCTCTCCGGGAGTTAACCAGGATTTGTGCAAAGCCATAGCTCGGGTTTTGGAGGAGGAGCTAAAGGTGCCACCGTCGAGGTGCTACATCAAGTTTTACCAAGAACAGGCATGTGTTTTAAGAATCTGGTGCTCGGTTTCTTCGTTTCTCTTTGACGAAATTTTATCTTTCTAGGCCCAGTCCGAGCAAGCTTCCTGTCTACACGCACTCCACCAGTAAAAAAGAGAGAGATCCAATCTTTTGATCAGTCCATAGTCATTCTTTCACGGCTTACGCGTTTGATGATCACAGATCTTGCGAGACCAAACGAACCGCAAAGATCTGTAAAGAGCCCCTGAGTTTTCTTGCGAGAGCTGACGACTTGATTCATGGAAGAAACAAAGAGCAAAAAGATGGAACTTTTAACTAGACGCGCGTGAGCCTACTGACTATACAAACCGCAAAAATTTCGAGAGAGCTCATCTTCCTTGAGAGTTGGGATTGGTCTTCTCTACTTGTCCCACTCTGGATCGATGTCGGACGGAGGCTGGACGAGGCTGCGGGGAGCGGTGGTGCCGGAGACCGAGGCGCCACTGGCGCCAGCCTCGTCGATCCCGTTCACCTCAGTGGCGTAGTGCCAGCCCATGAGATAAGGGAGAGCGTACTAGAAAAGAGTGTTCCAAGATACTGTTAGTGTTGAGTGGAAGAACAATGGAAGAACAAGCAAGAACTACTTACATTGGCCGCGGAGCGAATGATGGCAAATTCACCCTTTGAGATTGGAATGTTGAGTCGTGCCTCGGCTTTCTCCACCTTGTTTGCCACAGCTACAGGCGCGATGGAAATGAGTTCCAGAGAACTGGAAAGAAGGATCTTTCAGTTACTTACTTAAACCGAAGAAGAATCCATTCCTGTCCGTGGTGGGTTCGATCTTGAGCGACTTTCTCACCATTCCAGCGTCACTGCCACGGAGCAAGTTCCAAATGTTTATCAGCAAAACCGAGATCTCTAGCTTTCAGAAGGAGAAAAACAAGAGGAAGTCTTACGATTTTCCCATGTTTGGGTCGTGAAAGAACTCGAGAGATTCCGACGGGGTCAGTGCAAGGATCTGTCCGAGCTCGCTCACAGAGAGAGCGAAAAGCTGCAAGAACCTCATCAGTGGCTGACACCTGCGAAAGCGGGAACGAGACTACCTGCTTTTTTCCCCAGTCGTACTGACGCTGAGAGATGGATGGCGCAAACTCCAGCATCACAGTCCCCTCTCGAGAGAGAATCGCGTCTCCAGACTAGAGGAAACAAAATAAGAAATCAACTAAGAACAAAGCTTCTCGGATCTTCTTACATCTGATATCTTGAAAGTCGGCTTGATGAGTCGCATGTTGAGCGCACACTTTCCTTTGTAGAACACATGATCGGCAAAGACTCGCCTTGGTCGGGTTTCTGAAACAAAAGAACCTGCTAACAAGCTGACGGCGAGTGCCGATAGTTTTTCACCTGTAGCCTCATGGGCTGCCATCGTAGCCATGCTCCGACGAATGGAGACACCACCAAGCTCCAGCTTTGGCATGGAGAACGAAAACACACTTGGGAGCCTGGATAAAAAAGCGAAGCACTCGTCAGAGGAGAAAATAGAAGAAAAGAGATAAAAGAAACCACGAACTTGGTGTAGCCCAGCACACTTTCCATTGTACCGCCGCAGGTGCCGCCCAAAACCTTCGTCCTCGCCACAGCCCACATTCCTGCGTTAAAACCCTCAACCCAAAAATCCCTAGCATAAAGAAGTTAGCAAAACTAACCTGAGCTCAACTATGGAACTTTCAGTGATGGAGCCATATGGCAATCACGTCAACGAGCCGTATCTCACACTGACACATATAAATATCAGTGACTTCTGTTGTCTTTGACAAGGTTAATTGACTCGGGGAAGATGGAAATGGCGCAAGAACTGCTGGACGGACCGCTGCACGAGATCAAAGAAACCAGTAAGTATGATTTCCACTTCAACACCCATCAGTGCCAGTACCTGCAAAGCCGATGCTCCGTGGTCGAAGAATACGTGCGGCTTTGGCAGAGCTGCTCCGAGCTTGAGCCACTTCCCCTGGCCATGGAGGAGCTCCGTTGTATGCTAAGCAGAGCCTTGCAGCTTCTCAAGCAGTGCCAGCACGAGGAATGGCTGTACCATGCTGCAGTCCGGCTCACTGATTCCAGAGCCTTTGCGGAGATCTGCTGGTGTCTCAGTAGATTGACGGCCTTGGTCAATGCTCACATGATCCATTCTGCCATGGATATTAGGAGTCCCAATGTACAGTGCCTCATGGCTATGCCTTACAAGCGCAAGCACATAGAGAACCTGCGTTCGGCAATGGAGGACCTGAGTCCCTGCACATCAAGAGATAGAAAGGAGCTCTTCGTGAGAGCAAATTCCATCGGAGAAACTGACGGCAGGTATGGTCTGGCACAGTACCTTGTTGAGAAGCTGCTGTCAAGCGGAGGAGGAGCACTTCCTACCATTCAGGCCCTCGAACTCAAGACTCTGATAGGTGCGGGGGCATTTGGTTCCGTGTACAAGGCTGAATGGCTGGGGGCACCAGTTGCTGTGAAAGAGTTTAGGAGCGGTGATGCTTCATTCGACAAGGAGGTGAACATCCTGAAAGAACTTATTTCAGAACCGCACCCGAGCGTGCTCCAAATGATAGGATACTATCAGAAGGATGAGAAGGCTTACCTTGTCATGGAGCTGATGGAAAGAGATTTGGCCAACGTTATAAGGAAGACTCAAGGTTCGCTGCAACTTTTAACTTCTATAGACATCATGCTCCAGATTGCGAGCGGCATGAGCTACCTCCATCAAAAGAATGTGGTTCATCGAGACCTCAAGCCTTCGAATATCCTGGTTAAGACACCGAACCATGCCTGCGCCACCTGTTCCAACGTGAGGTTAACAGACTTCGGAGTCTCAAAGTCGAACTTTATAAGCTTTGCACCGGACTTGTCTTACCAGAGGGGGACGATCCAATACATGGCTCCAGAGATGCTGAGGGGTCAGAAGTACTCCAGAGAAGTTGACGTGTACAGCTTTGGAATTACTTGCTTCCAGATCCTGACTGGAACGCTGCCATTTCAGGACGATGGCAAGCAGCTGGTGGCAGATAAACTGGTCGAGACGATCGAAGATGGAAATAGGCCTGACCTTCCAACAGGCTGTCCACTGGAGCTGGTTGCTCTCCTCAACAGGTGCTGGAACAGGAATCCGAAAGATAGACCAACCTTCGAACACATATCCAGAATGCTGTGGTCGCTAAAAGAAAGGTTGCTTGGTGGCCACAACCTCGAATCCAGCTTCACAGGCAGTGAGATGTCCAGTTGCAACGCTGCGGAAGAGCTCACACTCGCTGCAGGAGATATGATCTGCCAGATTTCAGTTGCTGCTCCGTTCACAAATTTTCACCAGTGCTACTTCTTGCAGTCGAGGTGCAAGCAGATTTCCAGCTACCGCGAATTTCCGAATAAGCTGCGCCTTCGTTCATGGTTTGCCGTTCAGATAAAGCTGGTGACTACCTTGAGAACTGCGTTGTCGCTGCTAGAATCTTACAGTGAAGAGAGGTGGCTGCATACGGCGGTGCTGAAAGAGCATAACCCGTGGGCGTTCAGAAAAGCTCTTGAAGATATCAACAGATGTGAAACCACACTGAGAGCCATAAACCCCGGCAACCACAGCGATAACGTGATGACGTTCCCCGCTGTTCCTGAGCAATATGCGGAAGATGATAAAAAGAGAATGGCGGAAAGCATCAAAGGCTTACTCGATGCATCGGACGGGGTGACGGTTAAGTTTGCAGAATATTTGGTTCAAAAAGCAGCTTTTGATTCAGTGTTACCATGCATCGATCCACAGGAAATCGTACTGCTCAATTTCATAGGAATGTCAAACCATGGGACGATATTTGAAGCAAGATGGCTAGACGTACCTGTGATGGTAAAAGCCCTTGGAACAGGAAATGAAGCTGAAAAGCTCCTGAAGGAGCTTGACAAGCGGCACGCAGAACTTATAAACAGGCCCCATCCAAATGTAGTGCAAGTTATCGGCTACACAAGGCACGGGGAAAACCTGTTCGTGGTGTCCGAGCGGGTCTCTGGAGGCCACTTCCGAGTGACAAAGTTCCCTCTTGTATTGACCATCGAGATCCTGCTTCAAGTTGCTCAAGGCGTGGCCTACTTGCATGAACATAACTGCGAGCTCTCGGACTTGAATACGCTGCTGGTGGACTTTGAAAAAGGCCACTTCGACGAATTCACCGGTGGCATCACTGTCAAAGTTCACGCACAGTCCAACCTCAGAAAACGAGATGGACCAAATAGCTTGAGTACCTTGGCTGGAAGGTTGAAGCATCCGTTCCACTTCCCTCACGTGCCAGACGCGGACTGCGGGAAGATCGACGCGTACAAGTTTGGTATAGCCTGCGTAGAAATGATCACCGGACAAACCATCGGGGAAGAAATACTGCTCTCTGGAAAACTACCGCAACTGCCTCACGATTGCACGGGAATCAAGGCTGTGATAGAGAAATGCCTGAGCTCGCAGCCTCCGGGCTTCCATCAAATCGTGGAACTCCTGCAATCAGCTCAACTTAGACTGGAGATTCCGCCTACAAGCGACATAGACTACCGACGGATGCTTCTGGACTCCAGCGCTCAAACTGGACTCAAGCTCGACATAACGGGAGACGCAGTAATTGGTGGCAAGCTCATTGCTGTTGGAAACGTAGAAAATGTGGGTAACAGGCTCTACCAGTGGATCCGTCAGCACAAAGATGGAACTATAGAGCGGTTGCGGCCATTTCTCGTGACGGAGTTGGACTCTGGGACACTGGAGTATGATCTAACAGCCGACGACTTCAACAAGGCGATCTCACTAACTTACGTGGATATGAACGAAAAGATCGAAGTTTCCGGCAGAGAAACCACGAACAGTCGATGGGTTTCCTATAGTGACACTATGAAGCGGGCGCTCAAGATGATATGGGGAGCTGGCGAGGCCAAGTTCAAGGTTTTGCAGCTAAGGGAAGAAGAAGGGAGCAAGCAGAGCTACCTGGTGATTAGACGGCCGCATTGCATGCTGGAGTGGAAGCGCTACTACTTGAAAAGGATGGAGATCAAGATCGCGTTCACCTCCCCGGCGGCCGGCATCAAAATATCCGAGGAGAATCCGCAAATTTGCCAGCTGATCGATAACGGCGGCGCGGAGGCCTGCAAGATCCGATTCAAGAACGCGTTCGAGAGAGACCTGGCGGTGCTTACCTTCCGGCATTTCTTGCGCGCCTGTGAGAAGGGGAAGCGCTCGCGACGACGATGACATCCAAAATGCTGTGAGTCAACGGCGCGCGCCGGTGATTTCTTGCTGGAAATCGAAGTAGAAATGAAGAACCCTATATGTACAAAAGAGAAAGGTGCAAGTTTCGAACCGGCGACTTTTGCTAAAGTGGCAGGTTTTTCATATTTCCCGCCCTTGGGAAGCTAGTATTTCGTGAGCGAGTTTGTTGGTCTCGGGATCGGGTAGTTTTAGAATTTTTTCTTCGTTGTGGGCAGCAGAAGACTTAAACGATGGATGCATCCATTAAAAACCATGATGAGAAGCTGACGGCAAATTCCGATATTTTTCTACCTGTAGGTTCATGGCCTCCAGTCGAAACCACCAAGCTCCAGCTTTACCATGGCACATGAAAACGCACCTGGATAAAAAAAAGGAAAACACTCGTTAGGAGAGAAATACCTAGAATAAAAGAGATAGTACCCTCAGGAGCAGGGAATAAATTTCAGGAAAATAGGGATTTTTTTCTGACATTTATCACTTGAACTATAAGTGTCAAATGACATTATCATAGAAACTTCATATAATGTTTGCTTAATGCCTTGTTCTTGAAGCCACACCCAAAAAAGATTGTGACCATTAAATTGTTAATCCTCCCATATGTGCATCCAATGTCTTCAATCAAAAATGGGTCAACCTAGAGAGTCTAGGTTTTCTGGCACATATTTTTACATGGTATATAGATTATCTTGTGTAAGGAAAACCTCTTCATATCCAACCATTCTAGGTCACAGCTTATCTTGAAAATCCTGCTAACATGGGGGAGCAAGGAGTGGGAGAAATTGGGATTGAGCAAGAGTATGGAAGAAATCAAGTGGAGTGTAGAGGAAGGAGTGGAACACCAAAGTGCATAGTTTTATACTTCTCAATTTGCATTTGCACTAGAAGACTATACTCCCTTAACTAAACTTTCTATTGGCATCTGGCATACATATTCCTTTTTTAGAATATTATTTATGAACATACTTGTGATCTAACAGTTAAAATTTTAGAACTTCAACTTTATAATGACACTCCAATCCAAAATGAATTTTCTTCAGATCTCTCTCTCTCTCTCTCTCTCTCTCTCGTGTGTGTGGAGCGAGTTCCATGCCCCTGTATGTGTCGAGAAATCTGTCCCTGCTCAACTGGGCACTGATCCCCTGTGTCTCTGTTTTACAGCAGAAAGCGGGAGGTAGCCGGCACAAAGGTGACGCCGTCGGGGGCATTTGGCAAGAAGATGACCATGGACGACCTGGATCATAAATACGAGGATGATTGTGTCTTTTAGGGCAGGAGAGAGCAACAGTCGACGACAACAGCAGGAAGACAAAATCTTTATCTCTGGATCTCGCACTGGTGTAATGAACGCAAGGTGACGGGCATTAGCAAACGGCTACTTTCAAATTGCATATGCAAGTGAACAGGAATTGAACAAGTGAACAATTTTCTGCTTTGTCTAATCACACTGAAGCATCGGTTGCTGATATTAATGGAATACTTGCATGCTCTGAAAACTCCAAGCTTTAATTGGCCGCACTGCTTTAATCTGTATCTGCACCATTA